CCTCAGTGCCTGAGCCTGTCTCCACAACACAATACTACCCTCAATGCCTGAGCCTGTCTCCACAACACCACTACCCTCAGTGCCTGAGCCAGTCCCCACAACACCGCTACCCTTAGTTCCTGTCTCCATAACACCACTACACCTGGTGCCTGAGAATGTCTCCATAATACCATTACACTCTGAAAGTGCAGAAAATGAATTATGTAGAGCAACAGAATGTGCAATATGCATTTTATGAACTTTAATCACACATATGAGGCTCCTTCAGACTCTATCAGGCCATTATAAATTAAACAGACTGTGCAAAAAAGGAAGTTTATATGTTAGATCTCTCTTTTCAGCAAGTTTTTAGAAAACTGTGCAAATCACAAGCGAGGGTTACATAAACAAAGTGATTGGACTACTAAATGGCAGGGAATTGGGCTGTGGGGCTACAGAGGTATGATAAACATGTCAAAATTGCTTGATTAATCTAAAGTTGTTTTGGTGTCTATAGTGTCCCTTTAAATATGGACAATAAGAAATCTTTGATGAATGTTTTTTCTCCCTACCAACTCGTTTTTGTGAAACAGCCACCAGTTGACATTGTGTAAATATTTTGTTAAAAAATTGATCCATTGACATAACTACACATTCAACTGAAAACAAAAAATAATCTTGGAGAGCAATCTTCAGAAATATATCTAAGATTGTCTGTGTTGACTTTGTGATGTGATATCGTTGAGCACAATATCATATAAGATTGTTATGCAGTCTAAAAAATAACCATCTCTTCTCACTTCAGCCTGTTCCTACACATGTAACATTAGAAACATGGGTTCCTACACATGTAACATTAGAAACATGGGTTCCTACACATGTAACATTAGAAACATACCGTTCTCCTCTAGAGAATGACTATTACTCTTACATGCAACTGAAGCTGTTTATAACCAATAGGAATAATAATAATAATTATTATTATTATTATAAAAAAAGTAACTCACACTCTTGACCATATTTATCGAAGGTGCCAGTTACTCAACCTCATTATAAATCAATGTAACCTTTTCAATGGAATGCCCAACATATGTTGATGAAGCTTCGCAGCTCTAGACAAAGCCACAAGATTCAGACTTGAAGAGTCTGCACTAGGTTTTGCTCAAATGAACTGCATTATCAAGTGGAATTCGAGTGAAATGCTCTGCGGTGATGGTTACGTTTTTCAAGATCAGGAAAGAATGGAGGTGCTTATCAATCTGTTCAGGTTTATTTGAGAGTTTATTAATGCCTCCAGATGTGCTTGTTGACAAATAAAACATAATAGCCCATCTGGCGCATTTATAAAGATCTAATGGAAGCTTAGCATGAATGTATCATAGACACTATAATATACATTTTTACACAATTAAACTTTTGATCTTGAAATATAAACATAAGCAGCTGCTGGTAGATCGTTTTGGCAGTCAGGGTTAAAGTATCATAGGAGCTTTTGTAGCTGAAGTTCCAAGACCACCGATGGCAATAGACCAAGCCTGCTTGGCTTTTATTCACTTATTTTTTACTCTGAAGTGCTCAGCATCATAATCATAGTCTCTTACTAAAGGTACTCAGATATCTGCAACATGGTAAACACCATCCATAACACATGAAGTATACAAAGCTGTATCAGTCTCTGTTCTGTGCCCACTGCATCCATTCCATGGATGCCCCATAACAAATAGGATGGATTGCATTTCTCTCATGACCTATAGGCAATGCCCCCTGTATTATTGTTCTCCTAGTGGGTTCTCTGTTCCTCAGCCTGCATTGAATATGGATTTGACATGCTTGAAATTGGCAGTTTATAAATGCATATGAATATTGTTTTATATTTGGCTGCAACATCTTGCACACAGAGATCAGGTCCTCAATATTTTAAGCACACGATTCAGGCATCACAAATTCATATTTAATAATCAGTCTCACTGTAATTATCATTTCCAGCATTGGCATGTGATGATGTTACAAAATGGCGGAGCACTGCCCCATGTCAGTTTGTTGGTCTCTATACACTTAACCACATGTATTCAACCTCTTACCCAATGAGATGATCTATAGAAAACCATAAGCCTACAGATTCATATATGTGGGAAACTGCAATCACTAGCAACATGTATGCATGCTTGGATGAATCCATCCAGGGTCCATACCTCTGTGGCAGGTGTGAGCGATATGGCTTCTGTGGAAGTTTGAGTTGGAGAACTGGAGAAGGAAATTTCAATATTGAGACAGATTGACAATCTTGAAAGGGGTCTACTGCTCACTGAGCAGAGTTTAGAGGTGGACATCTAGTGGAGAGGGAGGAGATAAGACTGCTTGGGAACAGACCGGTATCTGGATGACAGTTACACATGGTAGCGGGGGGGGGAGAAGAGGAAAGGTTTAGCTAGTCCTGATTTGGTGCAGTCTAGCAGATTTGCTCATTTTAGAGAAGATGTTGGGATCATCAGTTCAGGAGTAACTGTACTGGTGGAAGCCATTCCTTCTAACAGCCTGGGAACAACTCTTCATTTACTGGTAGGACTGAGAATGTAAGGAAGGCTAGAAAAGTTGTGGTGGTAGGGGTCTCTCTTACTAAGAGAGTAAACAGGGTAATTTAACACTCTAGTCGCATCAACCGGACAATTTGCGGTCTCCTGGACACTCGGGTCTGCCACGTTGCTGACAGATTGAGGATTACTGGGAGGGGCTGGAGAGGGCCCAGCTGTCATGGTCTATATATATGTACCAATAGTAAAGTCAGAGGAATATTTTCAGAGCTATCACCTGTGCTGCGCTCTACAGCTAGTTGCAAAATTGGAAAGCACTCTTTTGGATGTGAGAAAGTCTGAACTTGATGGACGCAACTCTTTTTTTTTTTAACCTATATAACTATGTAACATTCAAATTAATAGCATTCCCTTTGATATGCAATGACATTGAATTGCCATTTTTGACCAAATGTCCATGTACGGGGCACAGTATATACTCATACTTACACATTTCTATACAGCAGCAATATATGCGATAGATTCCAAGTCACTGTTGTCATTGAAGAAAATCTCAAGCTAAACTAAAAAGTAATTCTATTCCTTCATATAGCAAATATGTGTTCAAAGCAGGACATTAAAGTGAATTATACTATGTCTATATCAGCCACATGTTTCTCTGTTCCAAGACAAAGAGAACTAATTAAACTGTGCTTCAAGGGATCCAACATTTCAAGAGACAAATAAAGTCATATTCACACTATTATTGGTAATAGCGGCCGGATAATACTGAAGGCACAGCAGCAGGTTTGCATTTATAGCCTATGGAAAATATCATTCCTTTTTTCTATCTATGATCACTTATTGCCGAAATGCTTTCTGAATGCTGAATATTTTGTGATGACTTGTCTGTGGTCTTTGAAACAGTCTTTTAAGAAATATGTTTTAAGTAAATTGCTTCCCCAGTTGGAACGTATTATAAAGTTAGATCCAAAATCTATATTTAAGAGAACTGCTTGGAGAAAATGCTGAGCTGACAAACACAGTTTGTATCTTTTAACAACTTATACATTAAAAAAACAAAACATGTAGTATTTGCCGTAAATAAAAAAAATTTCACAATATCAAATATTTAAACACAAAAACAACAAAACTAGAAAAATATGCCATTGCAAAATGGAATTGTTGACAATTTTTTATTTTTTTTTGCAAATAGCTATTTGTACAATTCCGCTCTGTTCATGTACGGAAAATGTGATAATTATATGGTCTGGATGCCCATATCACTGACCTTGTGTATATGACTTTGATTAGCAGATGGAATTCAGCTTAAAACCCTTCTGGTTCTGAGCATCAAAGGCTGTCTGCTTTGTGGATCTAATGGATCAAGTTGTCACGGGGATTAGTACAGATAATCCGACACTCTCCAGGAATTGTTCACATGTCAATTCCTCCTGTATATATTATGTAAATATACTAACACAGATTATTAACTTGCTAATACGTCAAGACGAATACTCATTGCACAGAGGGTCACCTTTATGTCTATTTTAATGAGTTGCTGCTAATGCTATTTCTGTATTGTACAATTTTCTTTGTCTGTACATTATTCGGTCTATTTGAAGAAATATGATAATGGTTTAAGATCTGGGTATATTGTTGTGGTTTTTTTTTATGGAGGATTTTAGTACAATTTATGTATAGGCTCAATGTTGTAATATTTGCTTCTGATGACTTTGTGAAAATATGCTTGCTATATAAATACTAATAACTAGTAACAAGCTAAGATGACTCTTCTGGAATTCACATGTGTGTTTGCTGTGTGTGTGTGTGTGTGTGTCTCTGTGTGTTTATGTGTGTGTCTCTGTGTGTTTATGTGTGTGTACATAATCCCAGTGAACAGTTCTGTACATAAAACACAGTTCTAAAAGATCCAGCAACCGCTAAGTGCAGTTATATCTCTTATGAAACAAAGCTATAAAAGTATATTCAAATAGAACAATAATGAGTTTATAAACTTCTAACTGCAGGATTTTACACCTAGCTCAAATTGTTCTCAAGCTCTATCAACATACTCTGGTAGAGCCAACAACGAGATATGCAAATTGTATTCTTTTTTTGTTAATTTCATGTGGCAAACTGTGTGTAGATCTTTATCCAAGTTTCTGTCTCTGTACTATAACTTGTGATCTCTTGCTTCCTCTCTTGAGAAATGGAAAATAATCATCTTGGTAAAGGTAGAGGATGTCCTCTGTTTAGGTACTTTGATATGATTAATCGGGGTGCTCTAAAACGTAATTCAGGTTGTTGGTTTTTTTACATGCAATCAGTTCTCTATATATGGGATGAGACAAATATATAAATAAACAGGAAAAATGATCCCAGTACTAAAAAGTCTTTAATAAAACCTGTAGAAATACTGGAGTATAGAGAGAGTCCAATAGGTAGCTGGGTCTTCTTATGTTGGAGGTGTCTCAGTTCGGTAGTAGATATATGAACATGTAAGAAAAACAGAGAAACTCCAATAGTGCAGATTGTAAATCAGCAAATTGATAGATAAAAAATTCTCATAGCAGATGATCCACTCACCTATTTCTGAGCATAAACTAGCTCAAGTGGTAATAGCGTCCGGTGGCGTTGATCCTCCACTGGTAGGATATAGGTGGTGAAAGTATGAAGAGCTCCTCGGTATATAGAGAGATGGAGAAACAATATAGTGCTCACTGAATAAGTGAAAAGGTAAAATAATAAGAGCAGTAAAATACTCACATGTATATGAGCAGGATATACTGCTCACTTTAGTGGCGTAGGTGGTATTATCCCCACCTAGGATTCTTGGACATATGCGTGTTCCGAACACTAATATTTGAGTTCAGCGAAGTCTCCCGAGTAAAACAGTACCCCCTATGTACAGGTTTTATGGAGTCTTGGAGAGTTACAGGGTCAAATATAGTGCTTGCGAATTAAATTCTCTGCACTTTCTCCCTGTGTTGTCAGGCATGTCAATCAAATTTTAATTAATCAAATCACATAATTATGTTAAAAGATTACTTAAATATACACGTAGAATTTTAATATATATGCATTTATAGGTATTTAAATTCTACGTGTATACTAATGTAATCTTTTATGTAATTATATGTATTTATCTATATAGATTTATTTGTGGTTATTTGTATTTTATATATAGATAGATATATATAGAATGTCATTCTAAGCGTATTTTGTTACCAATATATATATATATATATATATATATATATATATATATATATATATATATATATATATATATATATAATAACAAAATACAGTTAGAATGAAATTACATATGAATATATAATTTATATTAAATTTTGTTTCAATATTTTATTTATTTATTTTATTATTTAATTTATTTATTATTGTAATTATACGTATATATATATATATAATATATGTGTATATATCTATTATATATATAATATATATACATATTATATATATGTAACGTCATTCTAAGTGTATTTTAATATTAGTATATACTTATATTAATATTAAAATACATTACGTATGACGTTATATGTATATAATATGTATACATATTATATATATATAATATATACACATATATTATATATATAAAAATATATTTAATTTATATTAACATGTTTATTTTTTTTTATTTTTTACACTTTCCACCAGCAGGGGGACTGTCTGATATTTCAGACAGCCCCCCTGCTGGCAGATCCACAGCCAGCAATAGGGGGCCATGTGATCGCTCTTTGAGAGCGATCACATGGCCCCGGGGGCCTCATTCGCCGGAGGAGGGCTGCCTGGGCGGTCTGGCAGCCCTCCAGAAGAGGATCGCGGCGGAGGTGAGTACTGACGGTCCTCTGGGACTCAAAGCCGTTACGGTGTTCTATGCCGCCGCAACGGCTTTAAAGTCCATTAAAGCCGCGACGGAATAGAACGCCGTAACGGCAGGAAGGGGTTAAGGGGTTAAGGAATATTTTTTTCAGACCTCCGGAGTTCTTACTATGCTGATTATACTTGAGCCAGTATTTATGGGTTCAAAAAAAATGTGAGTGTACCCACATCTGTTTATAAGTTCCTGTTCTTGGTTCATACTGCACAATATATTTGTTATATTTGTTTTATAGCCCTCTCGAGAACCTGAAGGGTATATTTGCATGTTTTGTATCTTCACCCTGCTTTATTATGTATTCTGTTATTAGGTGGGATTGTTGGGTTACTCCAAGGGTGATCACTAGTGATGTCCCGAATTGTTTGCTGAACGGTTCGCGAACGGTTCGCCACGAACGGTTCGCCACGGACTCATCATTGAGTAAACTTTGACCCTGTACCTCACAGTCAGCAGACACATTCCAGCCAATCAGCAGCAGACCCTCCCTCCCAGACCCTCCCACCTCCTGGACAGCTCACTAAGAATGCAGCTTCACAATGGATGCTGTCCAGGAGGTGGAGTGCTTTATATACTTGGAGTGTTCCTTTAAATCTATAGATCCAGTACAATAGATGTTTTTTAGTGTTTCACCTCATTGTTACTCAGATTCATATTTATGTTTAGAAATACAGTGATCAGTCACAACATGAAAATCACTGAGAGGTGAAGTGCATAACATTATTATATTGTACAATTGAAGATTATACTAGCTGTTGGGTTCTAATAATCTTAATTTTAGTAATGACAAGTTTTTTGCATAATCTCTCTTTACTAGCTCCACAGCAACAAAGAAACACATAGAAAAACCAATCACAAGTGACTAGGATGTACGTGAGCTATAGTGACCTAAGCACGTCCTCTTTCAGAAAGCGACATCAAGCAGAATCAAACATATAACAAGCAATAACAATAACTCCTAAATCCAACATCCGAAGGAGCAAACTTCCCAATAATTCCAGAAATGTAAACTTGGCGTGAAAACAGACAAAGAGAAAGTCTGTCATTATGAAATATGGAGAACAATATCCATGTCCCATAAGTGGAACCTGGAGGCTGCTGGAGGCTGGTTTCCGCTTAGTAATCGGCAAACAAGGGGATCCTTGCCCACTGGGAGTCCCTGGAAAGGGACGTGGGCTGCTAAAAGGACAAACGTACCACGATAATGGATAGGTATGACCGACCCAATTAAAAAAAATGAGAGGAAGTTCAGAACTGAGTAAACAGACAGTAACTCAATCAAGGTTCTGTTCCGAACACCAAATAGACCATGAAGTCCCTGGGGCCCAAGAGTCCCATAAGAGATTACTAGCAGCCTGCAATAGTTTGCTGATCTGCCAGGAACCATGGAAAGAGTCCAGGCCACCAGGGTCAGTTGATCCTCCAGAAGCAGAGGGTGTGGATTCCAATTCGGGCCCATGAGAAGCGTTGGGTATGAAGGCAGGTGGAGGGGATCCTTGCAGGATAGTGCCCAAGGGTCCGGGAACTAAGGTTTGCTCAGCGGGGGTGACCAAGATCAGTGTTACTCGCTGAACATGGAAGTGATGGAGAAGTCTTGCAATCATTGCGAAGGGGAGAAAACCAACATCCGGGTCATGGGAGCCCAAGGCTCACTGATGCACATAGAAACATACAATGTGACGGCAGATAAGAACCATTCGGCCCATCTAGTCTGCCCAATTTTCTAAATACTTTCACTAGTCCCTGGCCTTATCTTATGGTTATGATAGGCTTATGCCTATCCCACGCATGCTTAAACTCCTTTACTGTGTTAACCACTACCACTTCAGCTGGAAGGCTCTTCCATGCATCCACTACCCTCTCAGTAAAGTAATATTTCCTGATATTAGTTTTATACCTTTGCCCCTCTAATTTAAGACTATGCCCTCTTGTTGGTTCCTTTAACCTTTCCTTGTAAGTTGTATCCTGCAATCCATGAATCAGTTTAGTAGCCCTTCTCTGAACTCTCTCTAAAGTATCAATATCCTTCTGGTGATACAGTCTCCAGTATTGAGTACAATACTCCAAGTGAGGTCTCACGAGTGTTCTGTACAATGGCATGAGCACCCTCTTTCTACTGCTAATACCTCTCCCTATACAACCAAGCATGCTGCTAGCATTTCCTGCTGCTCTATTACATTGTCTGCCTACCTTTAAGTCATCAGAAATAACCACCCCTAAATCCCTTTCCTCTGATGTTGAGGTTAGGACTCTATCAAATATTCTGTACTCTGCCCTTGGGTTTTTATGTCCAAGATGCATTATCTTGCACTTATCCACATTAAATGTCAGTTGCCACAACTCTGACCATTTTTCTAGTTTGCCTAAATCATTTGCCATTTGGCTTATCCCTCCTGGAACATCAACCCTGTTACATATCTTAGTATCAACAGCAAAAAGACATATCTTACCATCAAGACCTTCTGCATGATATAACTAATAAACATATTAAATAAAATGGGTCCAAGTACAGATCCCTGAGGTACCCCACTGGTGACAAGCCCATGCTTCGAGTATACTCCATTGACTACAACCCTCTGTTGCCTGTCACTCAGCCACTGCCTTACCCATTCAACAATATTGGAATCCAAACTTAAAGATTGCAGTTTATTGATAAGCCTTCAATGTGCAACAGTGCCAAAAGCTTAACTGAAATCTAGGTAAGAAATGTCACTGCACCACCCTGATCTATTATTTTCGTTATCCAATCAAAAAAATCAATAAGATTAGTTTGGCAAGTGAAGGCTAGTCCGTCTGGTCCAATCACACAGAAGAGCTACTGTAGTTCAAATTGTTGAAAAAATGTAATGCTGGCTATGATAGAAAGATGTCAGAAGACACTGTGAATAGGACTGTGTAGCCACAGATCAGTCAGAGTGCCCATGATGACCCCTATCCACTGCCAAAATCACCTTCAATGGGGACTTGAGTGTCAGAACTCATGGAGTAATGGCAGAAGGTTGCCTGATCTGATGACTCCTGTTTTCTTTTAGATTAATTAGATGGCTGGGTGCATGTGCATTGTTTACCTGGGGATACACTATGGGAAGAAGGTAGGTCAGCAGAGGCAATTTCATGCTTTGGGCAATGTTCTGTTGGAAACCTTGGGTCCTGTAATTCTTGTGGATGTTACTTTGACGTGTACCACCTACTTAGAGATTGTTGAAGACCACGTACACCTCTAAGCAACAGTGTTCCCCAGGGCCATCTTCAATATTGACCCTAGACAAGCATTTGCTTGGGCCCTCTGGACCCAGCTTCTCCTCCCACACACTCCTTGGCTGTCAGGATTACTGTTGAACCAGCACGCAGAACATAGGCGTGCGCGGCCTATTGTATAAGGGTGTGCACCCTAAAGCAGAAACACACGTGCCGCGTATATATATATATATATATATATATCTATATATACACACATACACACACATACATACACACACACACAGACACTGCTGTGTGTGTGAGGGTGCTGTGTATAGGTGCTGTGTGTGTGTGTGTGTGTGCGGGCGCGCTGTGTGTGTGAAGGCACTGTGTGTGTGTGAAGGCGCTGTGTGTGTGTAAGGGTGCTGTTAGTGTGTGTGTGTATGTGTAAGGGTGCTGTTAGTGTGTGTATGTGAGGGTGCTGTGTGTGTAAGGGTGCTGTTAGTGTGAGCTTTGTGTGTGTGGGTGAGGGTGCTGTGTGTGTAAGGGTGCTGTGTGTGTGAGGTGATGTTAGTGTGTGTATGTGTAAGGGTGCTGTGTGTGTAAGGGTTCTGTTAGTGTCTGCTGTGTGTGTGTAAGGGTGCAGCGTGTTAGGGTGCTGTGTGTGTGAGGGTGCCGTGTGTA